TGCTACTACTGCTACGACGACGACGACGACGAGTACTAGTACTACTACTACTACTACTACTACTACTACTGCTACTGCTACTGCTACTGCTACTGCTACTGCTACTGCTACTGCTACTGCTACTGCTACTCCTGCGGCTGCTTCTGCTGCTACTGCTCTCCTACTCCTACTCTTCACAACGCTACTACTCATACCACCTACTACGCCTCCTGCTGCTGCTCCGATTTCGACTGTAGTGATGAAGGGCATCAAGATAATGCTGGTTGCTCTTGCTGTTTGCTATGGCAACTGTTTCCTTCTAGTCGCACTACGGCTGCTACTGTTATCGGAAAACGATGGCGAGTATCCAGGAAAAAGGCTCAGGGCTTTTAGCATGTTGGGGGTTAAAAGTGTAAAGCTTCCTTTGTCGAACTTGCTCGCTCGCAAACTTTCACACAACGCCAATCGAAAACTTGATCTGCGCCAAGATTCGTCTGCGCAGCTCGACTTCCATATCGCGAAAGGCACTCTCCCGCGCCTTGATCGGACAGCATTAATCCAAAGGCTAATACCCTGTATTTGAGAAATATACTTCAAATTATACGTAGCTGAATATTATTGTTTAGGCTATGTTCCTTAATGAAGGGGTGGGCTCTCTGGGGACTGCGCTCTCTGACTTGAGCTCCCACATCCCAATGTGGACAGACTAATTCCGAGCAAACCACGTCACTGCCTCCAAAGATGTCCAAGACGCTTTAGGGCTTAAGGTTTTCGGGTGCTAGTGGCACAACCGTACTGCATGACCTGAACCAGTATCTCTCAGCTAGCTCGAACTTGGAACCCAACGACCTTGCAATGGCAAACCTACGCCCCTAATTTAGGGGCGTTAATAGTTAGAATAGGATTTTGGGGTATATTGTACTATAAAGTTCTAATTATTAAGGCCCCTACACTAAACCAAACAGCGGTTGCCTGCCAAGGCTGTAACCCGTAAACTTTGGACCATGAAGCAAGCGTAGGACAGCCATCAACCTAAACTCAGAAAGCCTGAACGGTAACATAATTTGTAGCAACAACAGATACTTAAGCGCACAAACAGAGGTTCAAACACACGCTAAAGGGTTTTAACCATAACTGTAACTATCATATTTGTTGGGATTTTCGTATGAACCAAGATTCAGCCATTTCCCTGTTGTCCTTCTCCAACAAGGCAATCCTGCACGATACAAGGGGCTGAACGCTTCGATAGAGGACAGCATTTTGCTCCTAGCGCAGGCCATGAGCAATAGCTAGGAAGTTGATGATAATTCTGCATTTTATTTGGTACTACTATAAGAGTAGAATATAAACCTACTCACCCTCCCATCCCCACCCCCCAAAATGAAAGCTGTAATCTACTCATGAAGGCCTCCATATCCTGGGTTGGATTAGAGGCTTGGCGATGAAGTCCAACCAAAGCTAATGCAAACAGCAGAGCCGCAAAGCCACTTAAGCCCAAAACCCTAGCACGCTAAAGCCCTAAGACTCTAAACCCTAACCCTAAACCTGAAAAGCCGAAGCCTGCAAAATCCTAAAAACCCTAAGATTAAACCCTGAGCAAAAGCCCTAGCCCTACAAAACAAAAACCCCAAACCCTAAACTCCGTTAGACCCTAAATCCCTGCGGGCTGCTTGGAACCCTAAACCCTAAACCCTAAACCCTACACCCTAAACCCTAAACCCTACACCCTAAACCCGAAACCCTAAACCGAACACCTCAAGCATTCAGGAACATTCATGGCCGAACTCGTGCGACTGCCCACGAAACACTAGGGCCCCCAAAAAGCACATAAGCAAAAATTAGGATAGGGATATCCCATATGAACCCCCTTTATAATGAAGCCCAAGAAGGGATATCCCTATAAAATGCTTACGTCCTTTTTGGGTTCCTAAAACACACGGCTCAAGCAAAACTCCAAATCTCACGGGCTAGGGGCTTAGAGATCAAGAGCTTTAGGGCTTTAGGGTCGAGGGTTTTGCCTAGTTAGTTACCTACACTATTTTGGGGGGTTCCTTATTATAGCTATAGCATAGGAAACCCGAAAACCCTAGTCTAGTTAGTAAGGCCCCTACACTAGTCGAATTGAGCATCTGGATGCAGGGTTTTGGGGTGTTTTGGGGGGTTCCTTATTCTTGGCTGACTTCTGAACCCCTCCAAAAAGTTAAACTTTTAGTCTCCTTATTATAGTTATATAGAAACCCAAAAAGTTAAAGTCCTAAGAGCCAACCAGAAGAACGCCAAGTTATTATAGCTAAAGTATAGCATACCCAAAAACCCCCCGGTCCTCTGAAGCAGCGCCTTCTCGCGCGCCTCCGCCTCTTGGAGGCGCTCCTGCAGAGTCCTCGGATCTTGTTTTTCAGGGCTTTTTAGGGAGCTTCAGGGTTTCAGAGAGTTTACGGTTTTTAGGGGCTTTCAGGGAGTTTGGGGTTTTGGGGTTTAGGGTTTTTAAGGAGTTTAAGGGGATTTTGAGGTTTTGAAGCGGTTTTTCGGGTTTTTGAGGAGTTTAGGGTTGTCGGGTTTTTAAGGAGTTTTCGGGCTTTAAGGTGTTTAGGGAGTATTAGGGTTTAGGGCTTGTGGGTTTTTAGGGAGTTTAGGGGTTTTAGGAAGTTTAGGGTTTGTAGGGTTTTTAGGAGTTTAGGGGTTTGGGGTTTAGGATTTACGGTTTAGGGGATCTTTGACTTGGTGGCAAAAACCCAAGGCTAGGGCTTAAGGGTTTAGGCTTTATAGAGCTTCAGAGCCCTGGGGTTGTAGGGCTTTAGAGTTTGAGGGTTAAGGGTTTTTGGGGTTTTGGGGTTTTGGGGTTTGAGGGTTTGGGGTTTAAGGGTTTGGGGTTTAGGGTGAGGTTTAGGTAGTTGTGGTCCCTGAAAAGTGTTTAATATTGAGTTTCAGTGCCACCTAGTGAAAGGGGGTGTAGGGTTTACACTTTAGGATCTAAGGTTTAGCATCTTGAGTTTGGGATTTCAGAATATGGTTGCAATCCTTACTCCTTTTAGGTACCTATAGGGTTCACACACGGCCTTCTTTCAGGCTTGCTACTTTACAAGGCTTGGATTGTGGGGCCCTTTCGGCCATGACTGAATGCGGAGATAGGCAGACCAGCTGAGAGTCTCAAACGCAGACGTACGGTTTAGGGTTTAGGGTTTAGTTTTTAGTGTTTGGGGTCTAGGGTTTAGGGTTGCAGCCCAGCTGCTCTGGAATCTCATCTGCAGATGGTGCCGGCTGGGGCGTCGCAGCAGCGCTTCCTGCAGCATTCGGCAAGAAACACCCTAAACCCTAAACCCTAAAACTCTTTTTCAAACAGACATTAAAAGGTCCCACCTTGCTAAAAGCGAAGCAACAACACTAGTTTGGGTGACGAACCCTAGGCCCGAAAGCCCTACACTACTTTAAAGGAAACTACAGGTGGGGAGTTTAGGGTATATAGAGCTTCTATAAGGTTTTTATAAGGTATATGGACCTTCTTTCAGGCTCCTATAACGGTAGCTACCCCCCTGAAAATGTCCTACACTACTGCAGCAGCTTGACCTGCGCAGCAACGTATCTCCGAAGACGGTTTAGGGTTTAGGGTTTAGGGGTTTAGGGTTTAGGGTTTAGGGTTTAGGGTTTAGGGTTGACTGAAGCCTAAGCCCTCGTACGGCTTCCCACACCTCACGGTTGCGCAAAGGAATGGCTTATACCATTGAACCGAGACTAAACACCCTAAAGCCCTAAAGCCTCAACCCTAACCGCTAAAACCCTAAAGCCCTAAACCCGAGATTGGACCCAAAACCTTCAGTCAGAGCCCAAATCCCACAGAACCCCTAATGAAAGCCCCCGGACCCAGATCTCGCGCAAAAATCCCGCAACTAAGGAAGGGTTTAGGGTTTAGGGTTCTAGGTTTAGGGGTTTAGGGGTTTAGGGGTTTCGGGTTTAGGGTTTGGTATGGGAGTTTCCGAAATCAGGGGTACCTTCTTTTGGGGTCCTTATAATATGGATCCTACTATTTAGGGTACTATATTGAGATCCCCTATTTTCGGAAACCCCCATATGCACTAAAGAAAGTGATAGGGATCCTACTATAGCTTTATAAGGCATATGGGTAGTTCTCTAAATTAGGGCGCCCCTTTTAGGGTCGTTTTATAAGGGTGCCGTACTATGCTTGGGACCTAAGAAGGGGCCCTAACTTAGAGAACTACCCATATGGCACATACCTAAAACACAGATTAGGGATCCTACTATAGCTTAAGGCCCATTCCTCAGTCAAGTGGTTCATGTCGGGGATTCCTAATAGAGTTTGCGGTTTCGGGTTTAGGGTTTAA